GTTTATTTGCGCCTATCGATTCCCATGCTCTGATCCACATCTTCCGTTTAGAGTTTCTGGAGCAATTCTGAATTCCTTCACACTATATGAGGTAGTTGAAAACTTCTGAATGTCTCGAAATAACCTCCGTTGAAGATGGTTTCCGATGTTCTTCGTTAGATATTTTTCATAAATCTGTCGAATGTATGGTAACTCTAGTAGTACCGTAACAGAAATTTAGCAAGTCATACTTAGCTTAAGTTCGTTGCCAATCAAATTTCATCCGCAATCGGTTGATTTATTGGAAACCATCACGGTCACGCTTAAAGATCCTCATCTTTTCAGACGTGTTCCCTCCACGAATCGTTGATCCTTACCTTCGTCAGAGTGCTACGTTCAATTCGCCATGCTCATGCCTTCCCGATTGGAATTCAATGTTCTGCAATTACACGCAAACTGTTGCCACTGCACCAGGGCTTATTCTTCCGGTCATGCCAACGATATGTGTATGCAGGTCTGTCATGTTCGGGCATAGGTCACGTCGATGAATTATTGCAGGATTTATTTATTTATTTTTCAGAAAATTTGACGACAATGGAAATAAATGTCAGCAATTTATCATTAGGTGCTTCAATCGAAAAAATAAGAAGTGGGTCCAGTTTTTTGTTATGATGAGGAGAGCTGAAAGAAATTTTAGTAGTGTGGATGTAGCAGCTATATCGGAAAGAGCCAGTTTTCAAAATTCAAGTAAAGTGGAGGGATATCGAATAACAATTTCCAGCTCATAGGGACTTATGATAATTGTTTGAACGTTTTGCTCCCCAAATAAGGGCACTAGCAATTAACTAGATAGTATAAATAATTAGCCGGTAGAATGTTTGAAGGCTTTCTTAGCGCGACAGCGAAACCTGGTCTTAGGGAGGAGGGGTTGGTGAGGGCAACATGGCCCTCCTAGCTACTAGAAGAACCAAGGAAAGTGTTCTTTGAAGCAGGGTCCTCTTTACGTGAACGAAAATGTTGAAAGGGGAACACGAATCTAACCCAGCCAGAGTTGGCTCCCTACCAGCGCCTCCCTCTTCCTTCAATGGCTAGTGAGGTGACACATGTAGCTAGGTAACCAGCTTCTTTCCTGACACCTGACACACTTTCAAAACAGTCCAGACCTCACCAAAAACTTCAAGAAGTGCACATCAGATGGATAGGGAATTTATCCAGAACCTCACCAACAAACTTCAAAAGTGCACTGAGTATGGGATAGGAATAGGAGACGTTAACTACTGAAACGGCAGGAGTTTTCGAAACCTTCCCAATTTTGTAAAAGAATTCCAGTTCCAAAAGCGTGCTTCTACTTTTTTCTACTCTTTCCCTGTGAGATAATAAGATGTGGTTCTTCCCATCGTTGGGAACTCGCAACGTCCAGTTTACCTTTGCCTCAAAGTTACCACTAAAGTTTCTTACCTCCTGATTCCGTTACGACGCCATCCCTTCGGTCTTATCCAGGACTGAACTAGAGCCCCCTTTACCCATTTTGGATTTGTGCACAATTTGTTTTCACCTCTCCTATACACCAGTAGAGAAATTTTTCACTATTTAGGTGCACGTGCTGTTTCAATCAGCCGAGTGACTACTGCGACCACTTAACGTGTAGAAACGGCGAACCTGAATTTAGGTGAATACTATTCTGTTCTCACCTTGTTTTAGCCTACAATCAGTGAGTACTGAACAGATGTCGAATTGTGCTTGTTACAGCTCATCGAATACCAGTTGCGTTTGTCACCACAATCCAGCAGACTATCCCTATCATATATGCAAATCACTGAACATTCGCAACAGCCCCGCTCAAATCGAAGCTGCCCAAGCGCGACAAAACCCACAGTCGTCTGATGAGCGGCGTCAGGTATGATGTTAAACCTGTTCACGTGTTTACGGCTAGTTGAAATGGTAATTATGCAACGCAACGGGTTGCATGAGTGAGCAGGATACACACGGCGCTGAGGATTCTTAAAGTTGGAAGAGGGAGCATGGTATTTACCCCGCTGGTAGGGGGTCGTAAGCTGAATTGTCAGCATTGAATGACGTAGTGGTATCTTCATCGAAACGGATTGGGAGGTGGGACTTGTTTTTTAGAACTCGTAGGCTTATGGAACCATGGAAAAGTACTGAAATGTATGGAAAGGTCATCTTGTCGTCCTGTTGAGGATTGCGACATTTCCAGTAATGTTATTCACAAGGGGACTGATGAAAATAAGGGATTAGTGCAATGAAAATAAAGTTGCACATATTTACAATAACTATAGGTCCGCGGACGACCTAAAAAAAAGGTTCACTGGTTTCCATATTTTTTGCTCTTCCCCCACGACGATCCTCTTGAAAATGCAAAATTTACTCGACAAAGTCTTCTCGGACTACCTTCCACCGACTCTGCGCTTGTGGTCACATTCTGAAGAAAGTAGACCAGTTTAATAGTGAATCAGCACGTCAGTTCTACAATTTTGAATTTGGAAGAGAGTATCACGTTAAAATTCATTTGGTGCGGGTTTCGGGCTCAAATTATGTCGCAGTCGCACGATTGTCCCCAAGACCCAACGCGCGGCGAAGGAAGAGACGCAGACGCGGCAAAGGACGAGTCGCAGCGCATACTGTAGCGGTTAGGCGTCAGGTTAAATAGAGTGTACCATACTACGTCTCATATCGCACAGCACGCGCTGCGACTCGTCCTTTGCCGCATCTGCGTCTCTTCCTTCGCCGCGCGATGGGCCTCTTGGGGGACACCCCAGTCGCACAAATACTTGAGATACAGGTGCGGTGTATTTTCAAGGTGCAGCGGTATTAAGGTTTTTCTGATACTACATACTGAGATAGAAGCCAGTCTGACTAAATTGTGAAATGAAACACTATCCGCTGCTGGCAGAAATGTATTAAAGTTCAGAACTATAGAGTAGGGAGCATGGACAATGCGAAAATTACAGTTTTTTGATTAGGAAAATAAAGTTATAAAGTTAGAATAATAGTAAAATTTAAAAAAAGCAAATTCGCGGGGTAAGTGCGTTGAATGATTTAAATTAGGGGTGCGAAATGGGTCAGAAGTGAAGAGAAGGAAAAATCTCTGGATTGTAGAAGATCCTATGGCACACGGCGACCTAAGACATACTGAGCGCCGAGGAGGGAGGAAAGGAAAATGAGGGCCTGAGTGGACCGATGGATGTTAGGTGGAACCGCATATGCATTTCTACTTAACGCCTCTATATTCCGATTTTATACGAAAAATTTCGCAAACGATGCGTGCTTCCGGAGCGCTCCACCTTCTTCGCGCTGAGCTTCGCTCTAATGACCTGATCGCGTCAAACGAGCGAGTTTATGAACCTACCTATAGAAACATTATGAACAATGTGGAGAACCTGCGGAAACATACGAGCCCTTCCCAATGTTAAGACTTGGTTAACGCCAAATGTGCTTTTGAAAAAAGAGACAACTGCGCCTAATGTAGGGGCGCGACTCAAAACAAGCCAAATATATCCACCAGGGTGAATAACGGTCGAGGAATTCCTCGACCATGCTCTCTACTGTGCGAGAGTAGTGCCGAGAGTGAATGTACGCGCGGAGAGCACAGACGGCTCGCGGGTGGCGAGAGTGAATATCCGCGCGGAGAGCGTAAAGGATCAGGCGAAAATCCTCGACGTGCCGTTGAGGAATCCTCAAGCAATATTCACCCTGCTCTCCACCCCTCTTCCTAAGCAGTCTCGGCTCTAATATGACATTGCAAATTTTTTTCAAAAAGTGATGATGAAACTTTTTTCAGGATCTCTTCACATTCCTTGGTATTAGGATTCCATCTTCGCCAGCCACATATATCATTATTGGTCTTCTAGTCGCCATCAGTTTCCTAACAGTTGTAATTTTGGTGGTCGGAAATCGGAAGCGGCAAAAACGTCGGGATGATAATTTGCGCCAACGCCAAAACGCTCACGAAGCGTTGCTGATGCAACGTGCTGACGACGATAGATATCTGCCTTCTGTATGAGGTATTTCAAAAGACAGTTAGGCAACGCCTTGAATATCGGAGAAAATCATTAATAAGCCAGAAGCCCGAAATCTTAGTTGAGGGAGATGACATTGAGCCCAGAGGTCAAATTACTCACGATATCTAGTAGCATAAAGAGCATGAAAAAAATAGTTATTGATCAGTGAAGAATGAGTCGAGAAGTTTGTCACTGTTTCGAAATCAAACAACAGTTTTTGTATCTGAAAAAACTCAATAACAAGTAAACAGTTTCATCAAAAATAAAAAGACAATGAAATTCTGCGAAGAAACTACCAACAGGCGAGGCAACCAGGCGACGTTTCTCGAAAAAAAATAGAGAAAAATACTCTAATTATTTTCAAGGTGGAAATTAGGGTATATTTTCCAAACTGCGTTTATATTGGACACATTTTCTAGTCACGGATTTTTTGAAAACATCTTGAAATGAGAGTTTTCGAACAATTTGTGGGTGGCTCTATAATTTTCACCAATACTTTCGGTAACCACGCCATGATAAATTATCTCCGCTGTAGCCCATAGTGCCTGAGCCGTGTGAGTGGCGCCGTTTGCGACGCTATTATCGTCGCGTTGCTGGGACCCTCATTTTTTCCCCTTTTCCGACATCGTCGAAACAAATTTTCAACTGGCTACATTCTGAACACAGGTATCAGGCAACACTGCCGGTTAGTGGAGCACTGCCGGCTACTCCTTTATAAAAGATATTTTATAGCTGGATCTTGAAAAATGTGGATATCTTTTGGAACAGCACATTAGAAAGCGTGGTGCTAGTCATTTAATTGTAGTATGTCTACCCAATCGTGGATATGGTAGCCATGGCTGCCTGACAAGAGTTCCTCGAATGTGAAGGGCTTTTTGTGTACTGGGGATGACTGTGACGAGTTCGACTTCCGAAGATTATAGTAACTAATTCCAACATCAAAATTTTTTTCACCTCATCTTCGCTGATGCTCCTATTATGCCTTTTTGTGAAATGCTGTAGCTCAGTGTCAGCTCCACTCGCTTTACTCGAGTCTCAATCAGCTCCAATTTATCACCATATACCAACATTACTGTACCCTTTTCCAGAAGACACTACTCGTACAATACATACATCGGGTGTTACTTCCATAGTTGTAAAGACCTCAGAAGATCATATTTCATTTCGCTACCGTGTCTAGGTTCTCTAGAATTTCAACAGGAGGCCCAGCTCGCGGCCAGAAGGCAGGGTCAGCGAACGAGTCGCCGCGAGTGCTGTAGTGATTTCACGTCAATGTGCCATCGTACGTCTTATATCGCAGAGAACGCGCTGCGACTCGTCCACTGACGCTGCTTTTTTGCCACGCTACAAGCCTCCTGTCGGGTACCTAGGTTCAGTTCCAGTTCTTGCTAAGGGCAGTGGGTGCAATTATCCAGAGGCGGAGCACAGTTGATAACGTCGTTGAATGCCACTGATGGAAGGCATTTAGGGGCGGTCCCGACCACACTCTCAAGGTAGTCCACCAATGAAGTTCATCGACGTCATCCATTCTGCTCCGCCTCTCAGCTACATATGTCCGCCTAAGCCTTCAACGAATGTGGAGTGTCAACGCTTCCAATCCAATTGGGAAACTACGCCAAACGAAGGCTTTCTCAGTTAGAGTTCATTTTGAGAGGAATATCATGTTTATGCAGAAAAAAAAGAAAGAAAAAACGCTTTTAAGAATGATTTTCAAAATGTCGCAGCTGTTTCTTGGAAATTGTTCAAACAAAGGTGCCAACAGGTCGGGAACACCGAATTTTTCAATAATTGGGCAATCGAATTTTTCCATAAATGGGAAGCAAAGTTAGCAAAGGGTGTACAAGGTGGCGCATATGTAACCGTACCTTTATGGCTTCTATTGACGGCTTCCAGGATTTTCCCGACAAGGTCTAAAAACCCTAAAAACGTTTCTTCCATTTATGGCATAAGTTTTTGCTAACTAAGAGATATATATATGCAGTAAAGCTAACAACGTTCGCCTGTACGTACATAGATTATATAGCTAATCTAGATTCCAATGAAAATCACATCGCTAGCTAGCTATGGGTCATTGTGCTTGAATGCTACCAGTTACGGGTATTTTATTGATTTTCATGCAATATTAAGGACTTTCGACTGCTTTATATTGTTTATCATTGTGGAGCACGGTTTTTGTCTCTTGAAATTGCCCCTGTCATTTTTGTTATGTTTACTCTTAAATGATTTTCGTGATCCTCTCGACTGTGGTTTCTGTAAGAAGAGATAGATTTATGAACACAATATACACTTATGATCACTGAATAAAGTCTATCGAAAAGTTAACTATTGTCTGATTATGTACGTCTTTAACACGTTGACGACCGTGTGGTATGATGTCATACCACACTCTTTCGGCCGCGTGGGACCGTGTGACATGATGTCATGTCACATTCGCGCGGTCAAAATAATGCGCGCGGTCCCACACGCCAGACAGCGAAAACGAGCGCGGTCGTCAACGTGTTAAAAAAAGCAAAAAAAAGTGCAGTGTATTACTAAGAATAAGCATGTTACTAAGAACGAATTTGAATCACATCCGCTATTTTGAAAAGGGTCCAAAGGTAAATATACCCTTCACGGTGTCCACCGCTCCATTGACCGTCGTTTTCGCCTTTTCAAGTGCTTCTGTCAAACCGAGTTGACCAACAATACCTGAAGATAGTACTCGTCAACAAAAATGCGACAGATTTCGAAGACCCAATCAAATAAAAAAGTAGGAAGGCGGTTTTGACTTCAGTGGGGGGAGGGAGGGGAGAGAATCTGAATAGAATCTGGGAGAGAATTTGGAATTTTCCCGCAACGTCATCTTGACCATGTTCTTGAAGTATTCTTACAGAAAAACTTTTAGAAAGCGCATATAGAAGCATGCGTCGATTTGCGAAACGAGACGACGTTTACGTTCAGAAGCAACCCATTTGAATCAAGGTAGAGGTGGTCAGTGCCGCCAGGAAGAAAAAACCATGAGAAACGGCCCAGAACCCGAGAAATGGGACCCCTTCCTTGCCCGTTGATTTCCGCATTGATGCGACTCTCATCGGTGCTGCCCTCTTCAACGCTCTCGGCTAAACGGCTAGAGACCTGCGGCGAGTGGTTGGTTAACCAGTCGGGGGTGTGCAGCATCAATAGCGGGGCGGGCTAGATCGCCTGGAGCATATATTTCGTTGCATGTCGGTCCGCAACTTTGAGACGTCCGCCTATCTTTGTACCAGGTGAGTTTCACCTTTCCAACCTATCGTGGAATTCTTCAAGGGAGCTGCGCATTTTTTTCAGGTAGCACCACTGCCTTTTAGAAGCTTATCTAGCAGTTGCCTAGGTCGGACCATTTCACTCGAATATAAAGGTGGAAGGGCGAAGTGGACCAGCCGTCAACGAAGAAAACAAAAAGAAACCGACGAAAACACCAAAAAAGGCTCTTTTAGGTGAGTCTGTGAGACAACTATTTTAAAGGGCAGTGCGCCGAAGAGAGATAACAGAGTCGGCGGGAGAGCATAGGGCAAGCGAGACGCAGGCACTGACGCTAATAACCGACAAGTCGCGAGAGGTTCACATCCTTGCGCGTGCGGATCCTGCGACTTCCCTCGCAGAATAGATGGTTCTTACGCACAAATCGTTGAAGAGCGAAAGAAGGTGTGGTGAACTCGAGAGACGAAAACCCAGGATTAGCCAACTCATCGAACGACATCTCCATTGTATATCCTAGTGGCCCTTCAGATGTCAATCTGGGTTACCTTACACATAATTTTATTTTCTTACATAGTAGAGTAGCATTATTAGACTTACTATCCTCAGCATGTTGCTGATCGAGGGCCATTTGCTCAGCAGTTTTGCGGTTGCCCACCATTCGTCCTTCTATGTACTCATTTCCGTTGTCTTTCGTCTTGATATTGTACTGAAAATGTGGCACCGCTATTGCTGATATTGAAATTTATGAAGGCGGAGGATACAACAAAAGGGCAGCCTATTAAAAGTCGATTAGACGTGACCAATGGTCAGGGATGATTAAAAAACTATGAGAAACTGCCCATAACCCAAGGAACGGGATCCCTTCCTTGCCCTGTGGTTTCCGTACCGATGCAGCTCACATTGGTGCTGCCTTTTTGAACGCTGACACTCTGGTAAACGGCTGGAGGCTCAGATGATGCGAGAGTGGGCGTGCCGTGGCGCTAGTGGCGCGTGCACTGTCATGCTAGATCGCCGGGGCATATCTTTCGCTGCGAGTTGTGTGTCGGTCTGCACCCTTGGGGCGGGAGAGGGAAGGCCCACCTTCCTTTTCACTAGGTAGGTTTCTTTCTTCGACCCTATCGTGAAATTCCCTAAACAAATAGTTGCCTTCGTGACATTACCTGAATGAAAGAGAGTTCAAGAAAAAAAAAGTTTGGCCACTATCTCGCAGAAATGCCCGTTTAGGTGAGTTTCGGGTTCAAATGGGCAGGGATCTGGCCTTTATCGTATCGCGGCTATCAATTTTTCTAAGACCTCTTGCAGTGAACCCTGCTTTTTGGAGCGACAGACAAGTCTCACCTTTTCTCTAATGTTCCGTCGCATTTTTTCCCGTTCGGCTTCCATTTTACGATGCTTCTCCTTTCGTCTTTCTTCGTGTTCTAAATTTGCAGCAACAACCTGGAATTTAACTTCCTTGTTAAAAACCTAATTTAGATCTCTACAATGGATACGGCAAGGTTGAGTTGGGAATCTATTCTATTCATTGATAGCTGTCACTGATTGTCAGACCAAGTTGAGTGCTGCAGAGCTGGCTTCCATGTAAACAAAGAGGCACGTACTATATTGATTCCCTAGTGGGTTTTCAGCAAAAAATCAATTTTTTAAATGAAACTAGAGAAAGAAAAACGAGAAGAATGAGCGACCAATAGATGGGATTATTTACAACACTTTCATAGATTGAATTCATAAAACTGGGCTGTCATAATCTTGTGAATCAAGGTGTATGGTGCTCTACTACATGATAATACTTGCTAATCAGTCAGACCAAAGAAGACGTAAAACTGCTTTCATGCGTAGTACTTCCAAGAATCAATTTGGATTGCCTATTATCCCTGTTTCGTAACTCGCAAGAATCAAATTTGATTACACTAATATTCCACGAACATCGAAGGATTTGGTGTTTCCAAATATACGGAATTCTAAGAGGTGAAATTATGTGCTTTTTCGAATTTTAACCATTTTTCAGTAAGTAAAGTATGGTACTGGTGTATGCGCAGAAAAAAAGGCTCACTGACGAGGAAATCTTCGGAAAGAATCTGGATCCAGCACGATAGGTGTCTGGTGCAGCTTTTCTTTGAGCCTTCAAGAATTTTATGAACCCCCCTGACCATTTTTCACACTGAGACCTTTCTGAATCAGTGTGGGGATCGGATGCTTTAGCTATGACATGGTACAGCTGGGTTTGAGAACGTCGAAAATTTAGCTACAAAAGTATTGACTTAAGGGCACACTACCCAACCGGAATTCGCGACGATTCGTCTGAGAGTGAAAATAGGGGTCCAAAGAAGATCGTCAGTGAAGAAGAAAAAACACAAGAAACCAACAATACAGAAAACCTACTAACCATCTTTTTTGTAAGATTGAATATGGTACGACAAAATGACGTAGCGTATCGAAAAGGGAAAATAAGCGAGAGAGCACGACATGCGAGGGGGCGCAGACATCCAGCCGTTGCATTGCGAGCAATAGACAGCGATCAGCTTTATCAAGCGGGACCACTGCAAGACCCAGCTTTTTTTTCGCGCTTTCTAGAGCCGTAGAAATGGCGCTCGATGCCTATGGCAGGTTTTATTCCGCTCACTGAAGGGACTATTCTGATTGGCTAATCACGGATGTGTCTTTAGACTTCGCTTCAAATTTCAAACTTCTGAACAAAGTTTTTCCGGCTATGTCGCATCATGAATAACTGGGAAGCATCTTGAGTGGTACGAAACAGTAGGTATGCCACGTCTTGACTGACAAGGTGCACCTTTTTTACATTCAACGAAAGTCACCGCAAAAACTCCACTTCTGTGACGGGTAACTTAATCCATGTAAGCATGGCAACACTGAGTGTAAAAACTTTTCTTCGAAATCACCAGCTGCGTGTCTCATGTTTTGAGCCTCTCTGGGTCACTTTCTAGTGGAGGAATAAATAGGAAAGGCCAAATGTGAGTGGATGAAATGAAAATAATGAGATGAAAAACTCTACAACAAGCTTCCATTGGGGCTGGTGAAGAGGAATCGGTAACCGCCAATGACTTTCACGTTTCCATCGCTTTCAAGTAAACAATTAGTTTGAGATTCCCAATTTCCTGTTGGCCACATGACAGGAAAGCATTCAATATTAGCCGCCCACGTGAAAAAAAACGTCCAGAAAAACAGTATGGCAATAAATATCTGCGAATATCAGTTACAGCTTGTGGTGAAGTTGCGTAGACGACAATTCACTCCTCATACTTCACTGCGACCAGAACTCGGAAGTCTTGTCAACATCAACTCTGACAGGCCAATGACGCCAAAGCCGAGTAGATGGGCGCCATTAGTGAAGCGCAATGCTAAACGGCTGAGGTAGCCGAATGGGTCGATCAGTGATCATTAGGGGTTGGGCAAGCAATATGGAAAAGCCCTAGTTCTAAAACAAGCTCCGATCTTCTCGTACATACTTGCATTGAACCCTCTGCTGTCACAGACTTCGAGGATCCTGCTCTTTTGGGGCGAAAACGTCTTCTTTTTTCTCTGAGATTAGTTGGGATATCTGACAAGTGCCTAAAATGGCAGAAATATTATTCTAAACATTGACGGACGTCTTAATTTTTCGTAGAGGACTTTAATAATCAATACGATTTTGAATGGAAGTGGAATGCCAGGTCTATCCCGGAAGGATAATAATCTACGGAGGCTAGATCATTTTTGACCACTCTGGCTCGGCACGCCACTATAGTGAAAGGAGGTGGGGGGGGGGTGGGCTCATCAAGTTGGGACCAGGCAACCGAGGCTTCCGAATTCCGGAACAGGATTTTAGTAAAACCCATATCGGTTCAGTCCCGTAAGCCTTCCGTCACTAACTCTGCCCACTTTTTCGCGTTCTCTGAGCTCTTTCATACGTGTTACGATTTTATCGCGATAGCGAGAATGGCGTACATAGCAGGTTTTGAATTTGAGCGCTATTTTTAGGACGCTTTTAGACTAAAAATGACCAGGTCGGATGTAGGATGTTTCCGTTACTGACCGTTTGCTTACTACCACTCATACCAAGGCAGAGGGACTTCCTGTTGAGGATTTTTCTTCCATGGCCTATCATGTCTTCCAGTAATCCTAGCAACAAGGCGCTAATGCCCTTGTCACTCTCTTTCGAGGTCCGCAAAGAACAACTCTATAACGTCCATAGCCTCAGATTCGTGGGATGTAGTGGCGCGAAAAAAAAAACATGTGTAGAGTAATTTGGTTCTACATTCAGTAGATGAAGAACCGGTACTGTTATGAACCAATTAGCATTGAAAGGTTTTTTGATGGTTTCAGAGGATATTCCATATTTGCTGGGATCTGTGTAGTAAGCCAGTTGAGATCTGCGAATTCAACGAAAATTCGTCTATAAGACAACGTTCTTGTGAACGATTTTCAATACAGCCAAGTCTTTAAAATCACGTATGTCTGCGGTTTCTATGAAAAATAAAATTTCAAACATATTCACAAAAATGTAAGGCAACTGGGAACTGAATTCTTTGTGGTCGTTTTGAATGATCTTTGAAAATGAAGCCGTGCGTCGAACAAGAGTTATGGTGAAGCGTGTTGACCGTCTATCCTATTGCTATTCAATATAGTACTTGCTTTTGATGTTGAGAAATGCCAGGCTTTCAATGGGAAATACCAGGACTGATACAGGCCTAACAATGATGACATTTGGCAGCGCGTAGGCGAAGACATACATCGAAAAGTTGTTCTCAAAACTTTCTAATCATCACGGATTCCTTCTCTTCGCCGAAAGCGCTATAGTCGAACACCTCCTTTTTTGGACCCTGAGTTTACGAGACATAACACATATAGCACTAGACGCCGAGATGAGAGAGCAGGCTCGGAGGTGAGGAAGCATAGGAACTAGTGATACGCAGACACTCATGCATTCACAACGGTGAACGTGCGTAGATAAGTGGGTATGCATGATTGTAATTCCTAAGGTTAAGCACCCTTGTGACGTTTTCAGTCGGGAATCGCACACTCTACGGGCTCAGCTATCTCGTTGAGGTAATGTTACAATGGATCAATCGCGGATTGCCTCCAACTAAAGTACTGGGAGTGGAATCGAGTCCCGTTCATATTTACCAAGCTTCCATCCCTCGCTGAAAAAATCCAGACTTCTTCTATGAAGTGAAACGCAGGCTTGTACGGCTGCTCCGCGTCAGTTAAAGGAGGATTCTACGATAGGGTCGAAGATAGGAAAACTAAAGGGAAACTTATCTAGTGGGGAAGATAGGCGGATTCTCTAACGGTGCAGGCCGACACACAATTTGCAGCAAAGGTGATCTAGCATGGCCATTCCCACCGCGCTATCGGCGTGGTACCCCTCTCTCGCTGTCTGACCCTCTAGCCGTTTAGCAGAGAGAGCGTTAGCGTTGAAGAGGGCAGCACCGATGAGAGTCGCATCAATGCGGAAATCAACGGGCAAGGAAGGGGTCCATTTCTCGGGTTCTGGGCCGTTTTTCATGTTTTCTTCTTCATCCCTGCACCACTTCCTACCTCTTCCCTTATTTCTGCGCTTTCATCGTAAGATCGTCCTTGAAGGTTAGGCGAAATAGATGTCCAGCGTCACTACATTTTCGAAAGAAAGTCCAATGCATGGTGCAATTCGCTGTTGCGTTGTAGTATTAAGCACTTCGTTTTCTCCACACTTCAGGATTAACTTAGACTTCATGAACAGCAACAGAAAGAAATGGGATCAAAGCAATTTTATCGAAATATCAGGAAGAAAGAGCGTAGATTTGAAATGTAGAGGTTATAATGAATGGGCTTGTTTTCCAAAATTCGTAGGTTTAAGTGAAATTATTCATGTACATAGCTTCCCTCTTTTGTCGGCGAGGCATCGTTGGCAGCCATTGACACAATAGGCCAAAAGTGAGTGTCGGATATCCGATAAATAAAGATGACAAATATCAAAAGAAAACCTTTTTTATGGTCTTCGCAAAATTTTGCGCGGTTGTTAAGGGGCTGACGCTGATTCCAAAATGCGGGGCATTTTCTGTATCGCCGCAATGAAAGGTTAATTTCATAGTGTCATAAATTCATAATTTCAAAAATCCACACATGTAAATTTTCCGAACATTAATGATGAGCAGGATATGGCCAGGTCAATTTTCGCATTTAAAATCGATTAAGCAGTTTTCTTTGTTTCAGAATGGACTCCACTCGAGCATCTTATGTACCGTAAGATGTCACGGGCACAACCTCAACCGTTGAATTAATAAAGTGGGGGTAATTTCAGAGTTGAAAAATCGCAATGTTGTCGTCAAGGTGTAACACACGAATTCTCCAAGAAACGCTGTGAGCTTGAAAACGCTTGGGACATACTGTCACACCTATATGAAGCGTGATCATCATTTTTAAACGAGTTCACAAAAAAGATAGGAAAAATCATAAAGTTATCAAATCGATCAGAGCTCCAGTGGGGCAATGCGATTCCAGCCCAGAGTTTTGATAAACAAAAGAACTCTGTTTAATAAACTAGCGTATACTTGTTTTATGACGCAAAGCAATTGATTGTTCACTGTGGTTGGCCGAAAGAGCAAAAATTTTAGGTGCTTACCACAATTCGCTCGTTTTTGTTCTTCAAAAATCCTATGTTGTACCAAACTGCTGCAAGTATAATACCTAATCAAAGTGTTTTCATTATTTCCTTTAGACCTTTTCCGTGTTTATAGCATTTTGGAGATACCCTCTCGTGGGAACGGTTTTGGTTTTTTAGGGTATTGATTCATCTATTGATTTTTGCCTTTCTTCAACTTTTTCAAATTAGTGGTAATCAAAAAGCACTGTCCTGCGTGCGGAAGCAACTTCTCACCCAAGCGGCCTTAGTGTTTCTTAGGGGGCCTTTGCAAAATTTGACTGTGCACAAAATCGACCCCAGAAAGAGGCAATCCGTGCCAGCCATTAACTTATAGGCATCGAACTTTTTAACTGGCTGAGGTAATCTTTTTCATTCAAAATCAAATCAATCAATGATAAAATGCACCACTTGCAAACGCCCGGATCAATTTCATCAGTAGAGATGCGATGGCGCTTGGTCACCATATCCTTCCACAAACGTTTGATGAGGCTAAGCAGCTGATTCATTCAACTCAAATCACAAAAGTGGCTAGATGCAGTTTTGAGCGTTTCTTTTGCAGAGTGTGTAAATAATAAAGGATAAGGGGGTAATTTTCATCATGGATCCGTGCCGATGATCGAGGATAGTTAACCACCCGAGAAATTTTGCCTGCGAAAATTCTTGAAAGGAGGCAACCAAGGGAAGAAAAGGAGCAGCTCGATTATACATGAATAGCAATGGAGACGACGATTGGAAGAGACGTCAACAGACTCTCGTCAGTGATGAAACGAAATCGGGATAACAAAGGCAGCTTCTGGTGAACAAGGCGGGCTCTGTGTTACTGGAACAACTGCAGCTCGTTTTCTACTTACAGAACCTATTTACAGAACTCACATCCGGATCAAGTTCTGGGGTCTCCTGCCTTCCATATTCACCTCCTTCCTGTTCTAACCACGCTGGCCTCCGAATCCACGCTTGGAAGAATATAAAATGCAGCGAAATAGTTCAGAGCAAAAAATAAAACAATGCTTCACAAGAATGCTGGGTTGTGGACAAAACTTACTCGGTACCATAACCTGTGGTGCTCATGCCCGGTAAGCAAAAGGTGCGGGTTCGAGTCCCGTCTGGGCGAATGTTTTGTTCACAACCCAGCATTCTTGCGAAATATTCGCAAAGCGAATTGCGGCCATAAACAGCAGTTAACAAATAAAAACAAGTCAAAATCAATATTTCACTATCTTTAGACCAGAATAAGGCTTTTGCAATCACTTTCGACGAATTAAATGAATATGCAGTAGTTGTGATAGGATTTTAGGTTGGGATCCACATTACGCGCTTTCTTCCTTGGTATATGATTACACCTCTAACTCTACCTTACGAAGATTTACTATATTAAAATTGGGTTGTAGTAGCGCAGGATGACCGGTTTGTGATTGTGAAAGGCTGGGTCGTGGTGGCCATTTTGGGTAAATTAGGGAGAAAGCATGAAATAAAAACTGGAGAAATTGCCATTTCACTAGGTTTATTACCCCTCCCCCTACTCGACGCCAATTTTGAAGGCAAAAAGGAGGACGGGAGGGCGGAGGTGGAGAGCCGGTTCCAAAATTCAATACTGTGGAAACAGCTTCGGCTTATCTCACCTGATTGTTTACTAAATAGTCCAAATACCATTGATGCAAAAGTAGGCAGAGAAGGGAATGTTTCGCCAAGCAACGAAAAAGGCTAGAACAGGGTATCGTTCGATTGTCATTCATAATTCATGGGTGAAATGTCGCTTGAAATTACGATATTCAGACGTCTTGGGATTCCGCGTCATCACTGTTAAGCCCTGCAGGAATACGTTGTCACATGACAAGACTGTACTTTTACGTTAGAAATTTCTATACTGAAGCATTTTGATGCCCAGATATTGCTGACAGCCCAAAAATTTGAGGCCCTATGGTTGCGAAAGACATGAAAGAAATGCATAGGGCTGTGGAAGCGCATACAAATTTTCCTCAACAATATGACGATAAGTCACCGTTCTCTCAACACTACGAATCTGCGCTCAAAGGAATCCTTCTGATGATTCTATTTCAGCCATAAATCACTGGCTTGAGACTCATTATCCACGATAATAGTGAAAAGAACAGAAATATTGCTTTCGTTTTGATTAAAAATTCGAAAAATCGAAAGGGCTGCTACGCGTTCAAAGTGCCCACGGACGTCTTTCACAAATGCTGGCGACGGGGATGCTTCCACTTGGTTCTTGGAGTGCCTTCACTAGAAACTCTTTCTGGCCTTCTGCTTTATTGCATTCACATCTTACACTTCTACTCCATCCTATTCTATCGATCGATTTGTCTCTACTCTCCGAAATCGCGCGCTTTAACCCGATTCTTTCATTGCGTCGCCTGATACGTAGCCGGCCAAAGGCCAACTTCTTTCCATGCCTCGCCTTTGGCTCCGCCCGAATTACCTTCGATTGTCCATAGAGTGTAGTTTTTGTACGTTTGTTTCTCTTCGGAAACCGAATCTTCATGCGTGAAACTTTGTGTGCTGTTTCCAGTGATCACAACTGACATATTCATGTCAAGAAAGAGTGCAAGAATTTTCCGCGAAGGATTCCTTTAAGTTCAATGAGTCTCCACGCTGGTCCATGCGTGGTCATTTGTAAGAAAACGAGTGTTCGGTTTAATGGACATGAACTCTCGGCGGGGCAACATTCAAAGATAGGAGGATGAAGAGGATAACGGTTGTATTTTACTTGTAATTTTTGACTTGGGTAGTATCTGGGGCAATGGGCTTTCCGTTTTCAGAAGAGACAGTTTTTCGGGAATCGAGGGGACTTTTTCAGATCAGAACAATTTAGAAATTTTTTTATTTGCTTTTAGTTTTTGACTATTACATGTATGCACTACCTCTTCCGCTCACTTACTGTACTCTTCCGCTCACCCTCATCAATTACTCGACGTACTCAATTATTTGGAAACGTGTAAGCTAGCAATAAGCGTAATGTGTGGAACAGTAACGAGGGGCTTCCAGAAGGGCATGGGTCGGTGTGATCTAGGAACTGCCCAATGTGATGCTCGGTTCTCATCTAAACTTTGAAGGCATGCTTCAGGACCAAACTGGTGTAGGTCTTGCACAAGATACGAACGCATCAGTGCAGAATGGGCTGCACTTAAGGAAAAAAGGAGACAATCTATCGAATCGCTAGGTCAAGGGGGTGCTCACCTTCGCAGTGCGGCGCTAAGGCATTGAGAAAGGCTGAGCTCGGAGAGGGAATAGAGGCGAAAGAGCGCTACAGATGAGAGGGTGCCAGACAAGCGCGTGACATCATTGTAACCATTTGCGACAACAGCCGACGGACGGGGAACATTGAAACAAGTGAAGCTATCTTGCAAGGTCCACGCCCCTTGTCGAGTGATTTCCGGGCACAGGAGTTCCACATCTGTGATTTGTCCCCTAACGATATATCCTACATTCCTAAGGGAATCGTTCACACGACTTCTGCCTGGGTTGGGGTGTGCCTTTAATATACCCCTTAAAACATGAAGAACTTTCTCAACTGTCTGTTAAGCTCTTAATTGTTCTTAGTCACTATTGTGAATTTTATTGGCTTCTATGGAGTGCTGTGGGGCACACCCTTAAGTTCTCCCTGAAAGTATCACATTTCAGATTGGGGAGAAGCGTACCAAAAAGAGGGTGACCATCTTCTGATATTTGTCTTCTTGTTGCGAAAAGCACCTAACAAGGAGAGAGACGTAAAGAAGTGCTGTTCACATAAGTAAGTTCTTCAACGTTCATTCAATTTGGGACGACATTTAGCAATTGGAATGGATCTTTATTTTAAACTTATCACAATTAGATCTGTTAGCGCAGTAATGATGTCAAAGGGATCCCAATGGAATTTTAAGTGAAAAATAACCTGTCCGATCATAAACTACAAAAATGAAAGACAAATGAAACTGCGTGATTGTTCATGTACAAAAGGTTTTCGAATGCATTGCTCAAGTATTCCGCGACAAAAGCAACCGTTCAGCATCGATCACGATTCCGTAGGCCCGATCGACAAGCTCGTTTTGGAACTTTGTTCTTCTGACTTCGTCCTTCTCGAGATCATCACACATGTCGTGATAAATAGACAGGCCAAATAAGCCGAAATTGCACGCGTACAGAAAGATTCGATCATACGCCTCGTATACCTAAAGAATTTCTTAAGACAACGATGTGGGGAGCATTAATTTTGTGACGGTACCTTGTCTAGAGTGAAAGGTGGTTTCCCATCAAAACAGCTCGAGAGGGTTTCGTGATATCGCTTCAGAAACCTTGAATATTGAAATATTGATTCGTTTGAAAAGGACTTATAGCACATATTCACATATAGTCATACATTTGGGGTATATAAATGATATATAACCTATCAGCGAAACGAGTCTGACCTTGATATTTGAATTTGCTCGTTCCCAATGCACACGTGAACAAACCAAAATAGGAGCTAACTTAGTTTGGGGAGGAGCCACGTAGCGCGGCATGTTCGCGCCCTCTCAGCGAGATAGTGTCAAGCGAAAGCTTTTCACGTGGTCCAGGACTCCGCTCATCCCACATCTCCCTTCCCCTCCTGAACTGCGTGGCTCATGGAGATTTCTCGTTGCGTATAAAGAACGAGCCGAGCGCTGTAGCGGCGACTGGCTCACCTGCCTACCCCCCCCCTCCCCCTAGCCAGGTTGGTTGACAGCTCTAGTCTCAACAAAAAGCTAACCAAGCATATCATCGTCACTTGTTCTCTTGAACGTAAAGCGTCGCATTACGTTTTAACAAAGCATTGGGTTGGGAATTGTGGTAAAATAAAAGAAAAGCGGATTTCTCCAACCAATATGGTGAAGAAGAAGAGGGTTAAATTCCCACCTATCAGTCATAATATTGCGATCGTGACGTGACAAGGAAACCATCAAAATCCGAACAATATCCTCAGCGAAATTACCGGTATGTAGCAGTTGGAAGTCAATGACAGCAACAAGCTGAAATAAAAAGAAGATTCATCTGAAGGTTGATATGCTAGAGGATAGACTGAATATGAGGTTCCCAAAATAGGAGGCAG